CTTATTGAATGGCGGAGCAGGCTCGAAGGGCCAGACGGCCTACTCCTGCTCCTAGTTCTTATGTTCTTATGTTTTATAACGTTCAAAGGTTAAGGAAATTCAATCTAGCATCTCAGAGATTCGTAAGTTTTTCTATCTTAAGATCATATGAAGTTGGCTTTTGACTTTAGATTGGTTCATCATAGACCTTGGAGTTTGGTGAATGAAGGTAACAGAGTGTCTTTTTTAAGCTATTTACGTCCATCAAAAAGAACAATGGCTCCAGCTCCTGTGTGTAATTTAAAGTCTGTATCTTGTCCATTGTGGTTCTCTGCTAACTGATATTATCATTTTGTGGTGGTGTGTTGCTTGTGCCACCTGTGCACAGCCTCTTTTTTGTTTGAGGATTTTGTCTTGTGTTTGCAAACACTGCCTCAGCCATGACATTCGGCAGATTGGGCAGAGCATTCCTCCTCCATGTGGGGCTGCCACAGGGGAGTCATTGATAAACTGGCAGCAGACATCTTTTCAGCACGGTTCCCTGGTTGAAATCGCAGTGCACTTTCAATTCTTTCAGTTCTGCATGCTCTAAGCTGAATGGTTTCAAATAGATTACTCCCATGCAGCTATGCTCGGACTTTTTGGGGCTGTTTACATTCTGCAAGGTTTTAGAGTAGGGTAATGTGCAAGTTGTTGCACACCTCAGGTTCCTCTGGTGCTTTTGGTGCTAGTCCGTGGGCTGTTCTCCTGGTTTCCCTCTCCCAAGTCTGATTGCTGGGCTGGCCTTGAAATCTTTAATCCATTGCTCTCCTCAGCTGGAATTCTCCTCAGGCATCTCCCTGTCATTCAACACCATTTTTCTTGGTCTGGTCACTGCTTGTCACCATGTATAAGTATCTCCAGTAGCTTCTGAGAGTCTTGTACAGATGAAAATTGGACACATGACTAGTACAAACGAGTAACATTTATTATACATATGCATGGAAAAACAAATTTTCACTAGTGCCTTTTTCCATCAAGTTCCAGTCCCATATGAATAAACAGAATGAGGGCATAGCTCCTTATGCAGATACTCAGCATTGATACTGATTTGAGTATTGATACAGTTAACCCTATAGTCTACATGAAGGAGCCTCTTCCTCTAGCGGTTGCATTTCTGTTGGCTTCTTAGGGATGGCAGATAGTGCCTGTATTGGCAGCATTACTTCATTTACTTTACAGCATCAAATTCAAATGGGTAGTGACTGAGGGATAAATGTTGGACACGAAACTAACTCCACTGCTCTTCCCTGAAATAGTGCCTTTGATTCATTTACATCCATCTAAAGCAGGCAGATGGGCTTTTGTTTGACATCTTCTCTGAAGGACAGAACCTTCAACAGTGCAGCACTCTCAGTATTGCATTGGAATGTCAGCCTTGATGTGGAGTTGGGAAGACCAGGATTGCCTCTTCTGTTCCCATATTAAACCCTAAAACATAATCACCACCAGTCTTAAAATTCACGTCCCTGATACTGATTGATTGATTGTCATGTTTACCGAAATACAGTGAAAAGCTTTGCTTACGAGCGGTACAGGCAGCTCACAGCAAGCAAAGGATGTACAAATCAAAAAGACTTAGAGGCATACAGGTTACATTATTTGAGGCTAGAGTCCATTCAACAATCTGATAATGGCTGGAAAGAAGCTGTTCCTGAACCTGCTCTTGCGTGTGTTCAGGCTTCTGTATCTTCTGCCTGACAGAAGAGGTTGTGGGAGGTCATTACCGGGGTGCGATGGGTCTTTGATGATGTTGGCCACCTTTCCACTGCAGCGAGCCATGTAAATGGAGTCCATGGATGGAAGGTTGGCTTCCGTGATAATCTGGGCTGTGCACACAACCTTCTGTAGCTTTTTGCAGTCCTGGGCAGAGCAGTTACCACACCAGGCTGTTATGCACCCGGACAGTATGCTTTCAATGGTGCATCTGTAGAAATTGGTAAGGGACCTTATGGACATGCCAAATTTCCTGAGCCGCCTGAGGAAGAAGAGGCGTCATTGTGCCATCTTGACAGTCGCACTGACATGGGAAGTCCAGGACAGGTCATCGGTTATCGTCACTCTGAGGAACTTGATGCTCTTCACCCTCTCAGCCTCAGTTCCATTGATGTAGATGGGGGCATGTTCTCCTCCTTTCTTTCTGAAGTTCATGATTAGTTCTTTAGTTTTGCCGATGTTAAGAAACCGATTGTTTTCCTTGCACCATATCACCAAGCCCTTTATATCCCTTTTGTATTTTGACTCATCATTGTTTGATATCAGTCCCTCTACGGTTGTGTTGTCAGCAAACTTGTAGATGGCGTCTATTTGGAACTTGGCAACACAGTCATAGGTGTACAGGGAGTACATTAGGGGGCTAAGAATGCATCCTTGTGGGGGCTCCAGTATAGAGTGTTATTTTGGAGGAGGTGCAGTTACCTATCCTCACTGTTTGTGGCCTATGGATCAGAAAGCTGCTCACGCAGGCATCTCAACTCCAACCCTCCTCAACTAATGATCTTGACTCAATCTCCATAGTCTCTAAATCATGATCTCCCTCCTCTCATCCCTGATCTCTGTACTCTCCTGTCCCCAAATATCCTTCCCAATTCCAGCTCAACCTCCAGGCTCTTCAGTCTCCCTGATGTTTTTCTCCATCATCCACAATGCAAAATCTAATCCCTGCTGTCATCTGACATTAAATCCAGTTGCCTGGTCATAGAAACTTCCCCACCCCATCTCCTAACTGTATGAGGCTTCAGCTCCTCCCCATGGTCTAATGCTTACTTGTGGGCCACTGTTGCAAACTAAGCAATTTACAGAAGAAAAGAAAGTAGTTTCCACGCCAAGCAATTTTTACTGTGAAACTCTCAACTTTGTTCATATTTTTTAAGTCAGAGACCCATGTCCTGTAATACAGATACTAAGGGGTACCTTTCCAACTTTGTGTTAAAACATGCAGCAGCTTGTATTCTCTGATCTGTCTTTTCAGTGGGTGCTACCATGGGATGTGTTGTCTCCCAATGGAGAATGAAATTGCTTATTACTTTGTCAACCTTTTAAAATGTGATTATATAAATCACTTAACCCTTTGTTTATCTTCCCATCTGTGTGTCGGTGTGTTAGAAATTTTTCTACTTTTCCATCCATCCATGCCAGCATTGGGCGGTAATTTGCCTTTAATTCTTTGTGTTTTCTCGTGCTTCCAACTGAAGAGACAAATCATTCTTCATTTACATGTGGCGATTCTTTGATACTGATCCAGCTCCCTCAGAGTCAGCTCTCAGATTGAGCAGGATGTATGACACTCGTGTTTTTATTTGTTAGCCAGGGGTCCCTAATTGGACCAGGTTAACTGCCCCAATCAGGGAAGTCATATTCTATAAGGTCCACCTGGCTGACCTCATTGCAATCACTACAGCTCACAGGCTGGCAGCTTCTAAATGGCTCACATTGCTTTCTTGGCACACAGAGTCTTTAGTGCTTAGTTACAGGCTGCTGTGCAGTTATTGTGCATCTTATATTGCTTTTTAGCGCAGAGGGAAAGACAGGCAGCTTGTGACAGTGGGGAGCTCTGAATTGTCAATCTTCCAGCCAGACAGGGGTTGCATATGTCATTGCGAATGTGCTTCAGGAAGCATGTGAAAGTCAAAGGGGAGCAGTCCCTAGTGAGGTAAAGGGATCTACAGTCAGTCAGGAGTCCAGAGGGGGTTGCCAATGGTTAGTCAGGTGCTTAGTCCTATCAGAGTCTGAGGATCTGTGTACTTGCAAATTGAAGAATGGGTCACAATCAGTCCTGTAGGTCAAGTGCAGCCAGTTTGGAGATTACAGATAGGTCATTCAGGATGCTGTTGAGATATCAGTCTGGGACTTGGCACGGTTAGTCAGGACTGCCTTACAAAATCACTCTGGGAGGTGGGCCACAGTCAGTCCTGGGTTTGATCAATAATGCTTAGGGAGCTTACTAGGAGGCAGTTCTTCGAATTCTAGTAGAAGTGGGCAACACTAGTTTAAGGATAGTCTTCATTGTACGGGGTTGCTGGGGTTGCACAGATTAGTGACAGTATGGGGACAACTGTAATGGTAAAGTGGGACCATAATGAATGGGAAGGGACTGGGAGCTCTGGAAGGGAGAGGTTCAAACAGATCATGTTAACTGTGGCCTTTGAAGGATAGGATGAAATAAAGTTTGTCAGAAGCAGAGCCTGAAGACACTTACACTGAAACAAAGCTGGAATTTTGTCTTGGCAGATTGAAATAAGCATAGAAAATGGCTGACACCACATTCAAGGTGGGAAAAGTAATTTATTGTTTTTTCTTTTTAGCATGGAGAAATGTCTTGAAACTGAAAGCCACGCTCAGGGCAATTGCAGTAATCATGCTTCCACTACTCAGTGATGTCACCTATCTGGCTTCAATTTGAACAACCTGTTGATAAAGTGAACTGACCCAGAGAAAAAAAGCAAATTGGTAAAATAACAAATCATCGATAACTACAGGATTCTACAAATATCACTACAGTTGAGGAAAGACAACAACAGCTAAACAGCTGTGGACTTGAGTTTCACTCTCACAGCTCAAAGGATCTAAGAACTTTCAACTGCATCTACTTTTGTCTTCCTATGAGATAACCTCCCACTCCTTCTTTTCAAATTTATTACCTGTGTTTGTGTGAGAGTCTGCTGTTATGTTTTTATTCATTTTCCAGGTCAGTGGGTAGAAACATTCCTTTATCTTTTATTGAAGAAAAGCAGGTAATTGGCTCTGGCATTTCCTAGCTAACTGTGTTTTAATTGAAGTGTGTAGGGGCACAGTAAAAAAGAAAAATTCATTTGCGGCCGACCAAGAGGAAGTTGAAAAGGGGAAACTAAATTCCACTTCTCACCTGTTTGGAACACTTGCTGGCTAAAATGCTTTGCAATGCATTTCAGCTGCTCTTGAAGCTCCTGTTGCTTTTACATCTCTCTCACAGTAAAGAGTTTAAAGGTCAGCCAATTTCTCACCTGTCAGGATACAGTCTTTATCCTGGGATAGAGAATCAGCACTGATTTAGTTTTCAGTGCCCCCCACCAACACCACCATGAGTTTCTTGCCTGCTGAGGACATCCATATATCTTGGTCTTAACCTAAGCAGCTGGGTGGAAAATAAGCACCTTCAGGCTAAGAGCCCATTTCACATATTGACCAAATTTACATCCTGTTGGCTTCAAATGAAAGTAAAATTGAACAGTGTGCAAATCGACAATTTATGCAACCCTTTCTCATTATCATTGGGTGATTTAGATTATAATCAGGGCTTTATATATTCCTTCTACCTGGGATTAATGAGCAATGATAAAGAAGTGTAGCTCTGGTTAACTGTTTGCATTACATGGAGATTGACGTGCCATTTTTATGAACAGAGAACTCTGAAGTTTTAAGTTTACTCAACCAACTCCATACTGTATCAAAACTGGGTCTTACATCTCACTAAATCCATTGTAAAAGAAGCTAATTAGGAGGAGCTTCTTTCCACAGCAAAGCTGATGGAATTCTGGAACTTGTACTTGAGCAGCACGGCCATCATGGGCTAAAGGGCCTCTTTTCATCCTATAAAGCTTTATGATTCTATGACTTCTAACTGTGACTGAGTTTAATAGATATTTTAAGGTGTTGAGAGATTTAGAGTTAATGAAAATAAATGTAGTCGCCACTGATCAGATAATGACATAATTGACTGATGGAACAAACTTGAGGGACTGAATGGCCTGCTCCTGCTTTAACTGTGTTATTGTGGTTCATTGGAAGTTTAAATACGCCCTCACGTTCTTCTTGGCCATCATGATCAGGACTGTACTTAGTACACAGTGTATTCCACTCACTAGGTGAACATAATGACGTGGGGATAAAAGCAACATTTAAAACTATATTCAATTAGACAATTCTTCAATCTATAACATGCCCTTCCTTCTCTTTATATTTTGGTTTTCTTGTGACGTGACTGTTATCAAACATTGAATGGATCATTTCAGATGGCAAGCCAAGCAGCTTTCTCGGGTTTTCTGAAGATACAAAGAAAATGTGCAAACACTTTATTAAGATTTACCTGTGATGCTATTTCAGGAAACATGAAAACAATGCCTAGTCTAATCTTACACTTTTAAAGAAATACTGATTCATTGCATTTTTTGTGTTTCCTATCAAGTTCACTATTTATTAGCAAGGAACTGATGTATAAATAAAGAAGAAACAATTATGTTGCCATTTTGTATCAGATTGATGGGAGAGTGATTGTTGTCCAATAAGAAAAACAAATGCAACATTGTCTCTCAGGACTGCTATGTTTAAAGACCATAAGTTGGAGTAGAAATAGGCCATTCAGCCCGTTGAGTCTATAGTGATAGTAATGAGGGTCAGTCAGGTGGACTTCGTAGAATGAGTTCCCCTATTAGGGCTGTTAATCTGATCCAATCAGGAAGCCCTGGGTAACAGATAAGAACAGTAGTGTCAGAAGTTCTGCTCACTCTGATAGCTGGCTCTGAGGGAGCTAGATCAGTGTCAAGGCCTCGCCACATGTAAATAAAGGTTGACTTGGTAACAGGATGCTACCCCCACCATTCAGTGAGATCATGGTTGATTTGATCATCTTGAACTCCACTTTCGTGCCTTTTCCCCTTGATTCCTTTACTGATTAAAAACCTGACTATCTCAATCTTGAATACACTTAACGATACAACCTCGACAGCCATCTGTGGTAATGAATACAACAGATTCACTGTGCTTTGAGAGAAGAAATTCCTTTCTATCTCTGTCTTAAATGTGCGATCTCTAATTCTGAGATTATACCCTCTCCCACAAAGAGAAACAATCTTTCTGCATTTACCCTGTCAAATCCCCTAAGAATTTTGAATGTTTCAATAAGGCTGTCCCTCATTCTTCAATATTCCAATGATTATAGGCCCAACCTACTCAACTTTCCCTCATAATGCAGACCACCTCCCCACCATTTCTGATATCAGCTTAGTGAATCTTCTCTGAACTCCCTCCAATGCCAATATATCTTTCCTTTGATCAGGGGTCCAAGACCTGTCACAGTATTCCAGCTATGGTCTGACTAGTGCCTTGTATAGTTTTAACAAAAAAATCCCGGTTTTGAAATAAAGGCCTATCACCCCAATACTGTTTCTATGTCCATGTGTGTGCGTGCGTGTGTGTCTCTGCGTGTTTGTGGCATATGTGTGGGGGGGTGGGATGGGGAAGATGTAGGGGTTCAATTTGACTCCTTACTTTGAAATAAAGGCCTATTGCTCCAACAATGTATCCCCTCAATTACAATGTCCCTACAACAACCTGATTCCAATTTCCTCTCCCCATTTGAATGGCTGCCTGTACCAAGATGCTGTTGTCAGTTACTCATTTTCCCTGCAAGTCCCCACAGCTTGCAAGAATCTTGAATTGTTGGATCATTACAGGGATTGATGCCCTTTAATGTAACCCCCGGGTACTCATACTTACCTCACCTATGGTCAGACCCTCCAGTCTCTGATCATAGACCAATTTTGAATGACCTAATTTGAAGGATGTGACTGCCCCAGAGCAAAGCGTCTAAGTAACTTACTCCTTCACTGATGTGGCACAATGTCTACAGCTTGTCCCTGCACTACAATGGTAAGGACACATTTGCCAGTGCTCCATTAGCCACAAAGCTTATTGTTACATCCTGAGAAAGTTGCGAACGAAATAAATGCAAGATCTTTTTGTGTTGGCAAGCATACTTACACTCTGCAGGATGAAGGGTATGGAGCAGAAGAAGGACTTGAGTATAAGGTCTATGAGGCAACTGCAGGAGTGCGTGTGTGTATATGTGCATGTGTATCAGTGTGTTAGTGCATGTGTGTGTGTTGCGGGGGTTGGGAAATCAATTCGACATTTTGATTCCTTACCTTAGAACTGGCTGATAAGTAGAGACTCAGCTGCAATTTTGAAGCCCCCACCCCATTAACATTGGGGTAATGAGCCATTGGATGCCATGTACGTATATCTGCACAGCTCATCAGATTGAAGCCTCCTGATATTGAGTCACTTCAGCTGCCAGCAAAGGGGTGCATGAGAATAAAGAGCTAATGAGACTGGGTATGCTCATCACTCACCTTATCAGGGCCACAATGACTTTGGCTATGGTAAGAAGTGTGGCAGAATCATGTGAGAATTTCAGCAAGGCCTACTTTGAGGTCGTAAATAACTCGCTGCATCTTTTAACCACGTTCTGGGCGTTGAGATGAGATTCTTGCTAGGAAGTGGTGGGCTGCCTATTAAGGGAGGCATAAGACGTTATGAACTGCAGATCTCACCTCTTTAATATGCAGCTCCCCACCTACCAGCAAGGTAAGGCAAACTAGATGGCAAGAAGTCTCGACATGGAAGTCCGAGCAAGTATTTGGTGGCTTTAGCTTGTCACTGGCTGCAAAGAGCCTGCATGTTGCTTACCATGCAATAGCATCTCAGGAAATGATTCCAGGGCAGCAGCTGCTTACACTCCTTGTCCACAGACATTGGCATCCAATCATCACCAAACTTTATGGCACCACTCTGATCCACTTGCAAGATACTTAGGAGGTTGAGACCCACATTTCAGGGAATGCCAGAAACGAGAGTTGAAAAGCTGCTGGAAGGATACTTTGCAGACAGGGCCAGGCACTCAGCTAATGGACTAGAGTAGGCTGCATCTTAGGGCTGCTCACGTACTCTCTTAGCACTCACTCACTCAGCACTTAACTACAGGCTCACAGCATCCCAGCCTTGCTTTGCCCTGCCGTGCACACTATTAGCACAGTCATACAGTCAAGTAGCTTTCCTGCTGGTCAGCCATCCTCAGTCAAGAGGGAGTACATTACAGAATCACAAAATAGTTAAGGTGCAGAATGAGGTCATTCAGCCCATCGTGCCTGCATCAGTTCCAAGTGCCTGCTAAACTCCTGCTTTCTCCTTATACCCTTGCACAACATTTATATCCTACAATCATATAATGCTGTCCTGAATGCCTCAATTGAATTTGCCAACACCACAATTCCCAGGTTGAACATTGCATTCCCTATCTGCTTGCTGAATAAAAAAGCTTTTTCTTACTCACCCTGGCTCCTTTTGCAGGCAACTTTAAATCTATGGTTTCTTGTTCTTATTCCTTTGATGAGCAGGAACAGTTGCTCCTATATACTCTATCCACTCAGGATTTTGAAAATATTTACAGATCTCCTCTTAGCCTTCTTTTCTCCAAGCAGAATAGTCCCAATTTGTTCAATCTATCCTCATAACTGAAGTTCCTCATCTCTGGAACTATTCTTGGAATCTGTTTCTGCAATGCATTCACATCCTTCCTGTAATCTGGCAGAACTGTACACAATACTCAAGCTGAGGTCCAAGAATTACTTTATACAAGTTCAACATCACCTCTTTAATTTTGTACTCTCTGCTCCTGTTAATAAAGCTTTACTCACTGCTCTCTCTCTATCTGTCCTGTCACTTACAATAATTTGTGCATGTATACACCTTGGTCCCTTAGCTCCTGTTTGTCTCTCAGAATTGTATGCCCTATTTTATGTCATCTTTCAACATTCTTCCTTTCAAAATGCATCACTTCATGTTTCTCTAGATTAAACTTCATTTGCCACCTATCTGCCCACTCCACCAACATTTCTATGTCCTTCTGGAGTTCCACACTGTCATCCTCACAGTTTGACTTCCTCCAAGTTTTGTGTCATCTGCAAACTTTGAAATGCCTCCAAGCACATCAAAATCTAGATCAGTAGATAAACAATGATGGTAACACTGACTCTCAGGAACTCCACTACAAACCTTTCTCCAGCCCAAAATATCCATTGACCATTAATCTCTTTTTCCAATCACTCAGCCAATTTTGTATCCATGTTGTTACTGACTCTTTTGTTCCATGACCTTTAACATTTCTCTCAGGTTTGTTGTGTGGTACTAGATCAAACACTTTCTGAAAGTCCATGTACACCACATCAACAGTGTTATCCACCTTGAGCTTTTCTATTACCCCTTCAAAAAACTCCTGCAAGTTAAACATGATATTCCCTATAGAAAGGGAAATGTTGGCCCACGCTGACTCTTCCTAATTAACCAACCTAACTAGTAATTCCATCCCAAATAACTGCCTCAAGAAGCTTCCACAACACTGAAGTGAAACTGACTGGTCTGTAATCGCTGGATTTATCCTTACAAACATTCTTGAACAAGGCCGTAATATGCCAATTTCCAGTTTTCTGGCACCTCTGCCGAATCTAGGGAAGACTGAAAGATTATGGCCCAAGACCCTATAATTTTCGCTCCCAAATCCTTCAAAATTCTTAGATACATTTCATCTGGACTTGATGCCTTGTAAACTTTAGTCTATCCAACTTCCACCTTGTCAATTCTGCACTCGTCTGGTGGTCGAGGTCCCTCCTCAATCACAATGGCCGGGATAGCATCTCTCAGTTAGG